CCCCCGCCCCCCATTCGTTCCCTTCTAAATCATCTTTATGTTCCCAGGGTCAGTAGAGTTCCTAGGAACAGATTTTCAATAAATGCTTATTGAATTGAAAGCTAGGGCAGTGAGATAAAGTAAAGGTCAAAAGCACTTGGTCTTTGTGTAGCATTCATTTATCTTCAAAAACCTTCATAACAACAACAAAGTCATATTTAGTGCCACTCCTCTGAGAAAAACCGTATTTTGCCATGAAATATTTTCTAAAGCAGCATGCTCCATGGCTTCATTTTATATTCACTGTTTCAAGAGTACACTGTCTTTTTTAAAGTTTGTAAGCTATCTAAACTGAAGACAGGGTAGGCTATAAATTCCACTGTTTTTTTTCTAGGATTCTAAAATATTTTATTAAAGTGGGAAAGAAATGAAACATTCTGTGTTTTTAAGAACTCAAAATAAAATATAAATAACAAACTACTCAAGAAAGTAGTAGTTTCATCAGACAATGTTTAATCTATATTTTTAAAAATTGGACAAAACAATCTAGGGAAAAATAAATAAGGTGAAAAAGATGTGTTTTTACTTATTTCTACAAATTTCTTCATTTTTACTCCAGAAATACTAGGGGAAAAAAGCGATACACCGTTTACTTAAAAAGCTCCCCACTGGGTTGTCACTCACCTGAAAGAATGCTCGAGCTTCTTTATACCTACACTCAATAAATCTCGAGTGTGGTAATTCCTCTAGAAAGTGCACTGGCTCTTTTGGAATGTGAACTTCTAGTCCATCAATGGTAATTTGTTGCAATTCTGGTCTGAAAACAAAAATTAGGAATTGTAATAATTAAATATAAAATACTGGCAGCTTCTCTAACACACCAAACAGTAGCAAAAACAGCCAAGCACATATTCTCACAAACTTTAACAAGATTGTAATTATCACACATTAAACAGTAACTGCATTTGAAGTAACTGAAAACACTTTATACTTATTCTTATATAATTGCATGTTTTAGCAAAAAGTAACAATTAGGGAGCTCTGGTGGCCTAGTGGTAAGGAGCTGGGCTGGTAATCCAAAGGCATGGGGTTCAAATCCACCAGCTGCTCGGAGGGAGAAGGATGGATGGACAATCTCCTCCTGTGAGATTTACTGTCTGAAAATTCACTGGAGGGGCAGCTGTGGTCAGTTCTAATTTGATGGCACACAACAACAACAACAACTGACTTTTAGAGAAAATAATGTTCTATTTCACTAAATGACAAAATACTAAACTGGTAATAAGGCATATATTCTGAGCCCCACATTCTATAAATATTCTTAGAGGGTTTTCTATTCCTTTTATGTAAAATTGTATAGCCCAGAGGTGTCATTTTCTTGCTTAGGGAAGCAAGAAGCTGCCCTGCAATCTTGAAGGCACATGGTTTGAATCCACCAGCTCTTCCATGGGAGGATGGGCAATCTCTTCCTGTTCAATTAACTGCCTCTGAAAACTCACCGGAGGGTCAGCTAAGGGTCGGTTTCGACTTGACAATCCACAACAACAACACAATAATGTTTAATAAATATTTATTGGTAGATAATTTTGATCTTTACTGAATTTAATAAACTTTTAAGTACATTTTCAGATCTTTAAAAATTTTATGTGCCGAGTCGCCTCTATAGCAGCTCTGAAGCCTGCCCTGCCCTGAGTCAGTCTCACTGACTCTGATACACCTACCTCCTCCATTGCCCTAGTCTATCTCCTGTGCTGTCCCTCCACCCTTCCAAGCATGATTTCCCTCTCCAAGAACTGGCCTCTCCTGGCCATGTGCCCAAAGTATGTGAGTGAGAGCTTCAAAATCCTAGCCTCCAAGGAGCCACTTTCACCCTTTTTAAGTAGCTTTTTCTCCTGAGAAGTATTCCAAAAAATAGCCTGGTATATAATTTGTAAATAGTTTTAAAAAACATATACAGGAAAATGAATGAAACATAAAGGTACAGGATAGGAAATTATAAAGTAAATATCCATTTATCAACCACAGAATGAATTCTATCAATCTCTCTTTAACTGTACATCTTACCACCGTCAAACCATCTCACACCCCACCACCCTTGAATTATCTATCCCATCTTTTTTGGTATCACTTCCTTGAATTTCTTAATACTTTTACATAAACATCCAGAAACATAAGCTAGCTTCTGTTTGAACTTTTTATATATGAATTTATTTATATTTTCTATTATTGAAAGGTATCTGAGTTGTATCTAGTTTTTGAGCATTTAAAGCACTGTGGTTTTGAGATGTTTCTCTGAAAAAGTGCCAAACAAACGGTGGATGACACTGGTGCACTGAGAAGTGACTTGGGAGCTTCAGTAGCCTGCTGGATTAGGGGTCACGCCATGAACCGGGCCATGGGCCAAGCCACAGAGTTAGCTGAGGTAAAGTTAAGGACAAAGACTGGCACCCTGTCACCAAGCTAGGCTGTCCAAAGACATTAAGATCAAGTTCCTATATGAATCTCTATATACCTTCTCACTGCAATTAAGAAGTTCAAGATTATTGATTCTCCCTCTCCCCCTCCCCCCTTTAAGAATGAAGACTTGAAAATCATGCCTGTGCAGAAGAAGCAGACTCATTCTAGCCCGTGAATCAAGTTTGAGACTTTTGTCACCATCAGGAACTACAATGGACAGGTTGCCCTGGGCATTGAGTGATCCACCACCATCTTTGGCCATCATCCTGGCCAAGCTCTCCACTGTCCCTGTATGATGGGGCTACTGTGGGAACAATCTTGGCAAGGCTCACCATGTTTCCTGCAAGCTGACTAGTGCTATGACTCTGTGCTGGGACATCGTATCCCTGCACTCTAAGGCACTGGCATTGTCTTGCCCAGTGGTCAAGTAACTGCTGCTTCAGTGACTGAAAGGTCACCATAGGCAACTCTGTAAAAACAGCCTTTGATGTCATCTCTAAAACCTATAGTATCTGATTCCTGACCTCTAGAAAGAGGCCGCATTTACCATATCCTTCTAGAAGAATTCACTCAGCAGCTCCTAAAGACCCACACCGGTCTCTCAGCAGATGATCCAGGTTCCAGTTTGGTCACCACACAGTGGTTTTTATACAAGGGAAATAATATGCATTAAGTCAATTTTGTGGAGAGGGGGAGTTGGAGGACAATGGTACTCTGAGGGTAATGGTATTCTAAGCATTCTTACCCATTTTCCTTGTAAACATGAGCATTAGTTTGTATTGAATATTTTATTTCCTAACTGATTTATGGGAACTATATATTAGATTTCATTACTAAATGTGAAAAAAGTATGAATTCAAGAATGGACAAACAGGCTTCATTTTCCCTTTCTGTTTTTACCTGTCAAAAGCTCCAGGATAACGACCAAAATGCAATTTTCGAAAAGGAACAAATTTTCTGTCAATATGGCCTTTGAGTCGTAGATGGCCATGCCAGAGGTAGTTGCCACTTCTTTCATGAAAGATCACCAGGTGGATGGCATGAGTAGCCAGTTTACAGATGTAGTGCAGGGGGATTTCCGTTCCAGAAAGCGAGTCTATTCCATCTAGACGAGGATCTTTGCTCTGAATCTTTACACACTGGAATCCCATATTCTCAGCTATACGAAACCAGCCTTCCTAGAACCAAACAAATACCAACCTTAAATATTTAAAACCCAGTATTAGTAGCAAAGATGAATAAAGTCATCCAGTTTTTGTACTAATCTGCTTTATGACTAAAGAAGTGGGGAAGGGAAGATGGTAGACGGAGAATAAAGTGGGGAAAAAAGAGAGGCTACCTATCATGGAACACTGCCCAAAGACATGTCATGAAAATTAAAACAGTTTTTTTCTTATAAAGAGAATGTTCATTTCAGAGTTCTCTTGCTATCATCTAAAAAGCCAATGTTAATATAAAAATAGCTCTTAAAATGAAATTTCTAATTCTTAATTTATCTTAATACTATTATCTTCAGAAGCCCTTTTTTATTTTATTAAATTTTATTAGTTTTAATGAACATTTACAGAGATTTTGGGTTTTCATTCCTTCATTACTGCACCATTCTCTCTACCCTCCTCCCCAGTTTGTTCTTCTTCCCCGCCATCCGAATGTCTGTTTTAATTGTCCAACTGCCACAGTGCTTGTCAAAGCCAGTTCTGATTAATCTCCTTTGTCGGTGTGTCCTTTGCCATTCCCTATCACTCCTCCCTGAGAGAGACTTCACCCTGATTCATAAGGAAAAGGGGATGGTGTATTCTCTTAGCTACTTCCTGCTGAAAAGGGACGCTGTGGGTTTCAGGGTGAAGATCTTCTCTCACTACTCTAAAGGGCCCCTTTGGCAGTAGGAAACACATAGACTATTATGGAGATTGATTTTGGAATTTAGATGCACTGTTATTAATTGTGCTTAGCCGTACATGTTCATATCCCTGAAGATGTATCATGGGGGGGGGGGTTGCAACCTAGAAGACACAAATTTAACTAACAAGTTATAAGTACATGAGTCAAAAATTATGGAAAAGTAAAAGAAAAGATTCTTTCATTGTTTTACAAACCCTCCCCCAGGTCCCCTCCACCATGTAGCCCTCGCTCTAGTCTCCTGTGATGACAGAAATACCTAGTCACATATCTCTTTTACACAGTTTTCTCCCTCCTCTGTTTCAGTGCAGTATACATTATTGAACACATCTTACTCAGTCTTCAGAAGCCCTTTTGAAAAGTAATTTTTATCCATAACATGTTTATATTCCAACACCATAAAATGCTACTCTAATAAAAGCCCATCATAATGCAAACCACCAGAAATGAAGCAGCGGTCAAGAAATAAAAAGGTGGATTACTAGACTGGATGATCTCAGGCACTGAAGGTCTGTGGTTCACATCCACCAGCTGCCCAAAACAAACGAAGACCCTTTAATGTTCATTACTGATACAAATATAAACATTTTTCCCCGAGGTTCAAAATTTATTATACAAATTAAGCATCATATAATGAGTCGACATTAGCTGTTCCAGGTATGACAAATTAGCAGATAAGGTGCCGACAGTTTAGAATCCCATTTATGTTGCTTTCACAGCTGGGGTTTTTTTTAGACTTTAACTTGAAGTATAGGACAAGCAAAGCAATACCCACATATGTGGCCAGTACATAATACATTCTACCTGTGAGTGGATAAGCGATGAAGTATTTATGAAAACCAGTAAACTGGAATTGAGTCTCTTTCTTGGCCTGCCATGATTTCGATCTAGCAGAGCCACAAATTCCACAGTCGGTGTCCTTCAGCATAAAAAGCCGACCCCACAAATTATAAACATTTTTAAGAAAATAATAATTTACATCTTAAACTGATATAACCCCATCATTCTTTTACACATACAATGTTACCTGGAAGCATACCATCTTACCTCATTCTTCCAAAGGTGATTCTGTAGTGCAAATGTCGTGAAGTCCCTTGGAACACAGAAAAACTTGCAGTCTGTAGTGGTGCCATATGAAGTATTTTTTATTTGTTCAGAATTTTTACTGATCAATTCCAGAATCAAAGGATCAATTAAGAACACTGGTACATTCTGACTTGATGTCAGCATAATAAATTTTTTAACTGCACGCTGTTTAAGAGGAAAAGCATCACCTTAATTCCATTTCAACAATTATTACATTTTATACATTATAAGAATTTGAAAGTTTACTCAGCAGTTTCCATGATTATTACTGTTCTAAAATATGTTGTTAGGTGCTGTCGAGTCGCTTGTGACTCATAGCGACCCTATGTTCAACAGCCCTAAACCCTGCTCTATCCTCTGCCAATCGCACTGTCTCTGACACACCCACCCCGAGTACCCCAGTCACTGAATCAATCCACCTCATAGAGAATTTTCCCCTCCTACGACGTCCTCCACCCTCCCAAGCATGATGTCCCTCTCCAAGGACCTGTCCCTCCTTACAACATGTCCAAAGTATGTTAGACGAAGCCCCAGAATCCTTGCCTCCAAGGAGCAGCTCAGTTTAATCCTCTCCAGGATGAATCTGTTTGTTTTCTTGGCAGTCCATGGTACATTCATACTCTTCTCCAGCACCACAGCTCAAAA